TTGATTAATGCATGGTTTAGTGTGAAACTATTCAGTTCGCCCGCACAACAGGTAAGAGGTCAACCAAACAATATAATTACGTGCACATGACATGAGGCATAGGCCACAGCCGTGATTCTAGTGAATGTAGATCTAAGGAAGGATGTCTGTCTCTTCGCATCCATACATCCATCCATGCATGCATGCATCCATCCATCCACCCACCCACCCATCCATCATCATCATTGCCATGACAACGTCATGGCACATGATAATTTGACCTGTCCTGCACTCAAACGATATAATATAAGAGATGGTATAAGCAAAATCTGGGCAAGAAACCTTGAGAGTATCCAAGAATGGGACCTCGGTAGATTTTTGCTTCTGCAAGACGCACACCTGCCCTTTATTGGTTGGTAATAGTGTTTGAAATTTTTGATGAATGATTGTGGGATTATTAATTCAATTGTGTGCCTGTCAACAGCAAGCTTGAGTTTTCAGAGAATGAACTATACAGTAACAAGGGGTTTTCCAATTCATGTAGCAGCAGTATATTCACAGGATTATGGCCACTCTCACACATTATTTCTCTTGATGAACATGATTATAAAGCACAGTGGATCTCAATGTCACGCCAGTGCATCTAACTCTACAAGAGCACAGTGAATCTCAATGTCACGCCAGTGTATCCAACTCTACGATAGGGGGTCTAGCCACAGGCGCACGTGAGGCTCATGCACTGTGGAGCGACACCTGTCCCTAAGCGTGGCAGCGACACCTCCTGTCCCCTTAGGGACATGTGTCACTGCCGTGCAGCAGCGCGCGCGTGCCGCTAGCATTGCTCATTTTACAAAGCAGGACCAATTCATAGGGTAGTAGCTTTAAAAGAGCTTCCACAGGGAAATACGGAGTTCAGTAACAAGTAAATATGATTTCAATATTTCACAAAGACTGAATCATGATTAGGTTTTCGATCGACCATGTTCAACCCCTCTATCAGATGAGACCAACATGTGAAACATGTAAAGGTGAAACTAATTTCTATTTCTTTTTTTTTGTGGTTACACAAATGAAAACAAAATTTTCAATACACAATGAGTATTACAACAAGGAACACGGATATTATTGCGCTTAGGTATCAACACTAAGTTTCTCAAGTAACATGAGGGAACTGAAGCTGTGCAAACGAATCTATTCTGCTATGAAGAACGTGAGAAGTTTAACTGCACACCTGTCTTCGCTCGGTCGTATTCAGCTTGTTTCAGGACGTGGCAATAATTTATCTGAAAGTAAAAAATAAAAAAATAAAAATAAAAGCAATGTCAATAGACATCTTTTTTAGGGGGTCAAGCATAGATTTGAAGGTAAAAGCTCAAACCTCCATCCTGAACAATTTCGTTAGTATAATCACACCACACCCTACAGAGCTCCGGGCTGTGCTCCAAAGTTTCTGAACTGAAAAATCCTTCACCTTGTCCTCTGTTATTTTAGCTAGATTACCACAAGTTGCAAAAACATGGCCATGAATTCCAGCTCTTTTAAGAATCTCGGGTGGTAAATCAAACGTGAGGTCAGCAAATGCTGTAACTGCAAAATCACCCCCCAGAACATCTCGCTCAGAAGAAGACTGAGAACTGGGATCATCCGATTTTATCAGGACTAATCTTTTTAGGTCAGTTGGTCCTAATCCCCTCGTCTTGAACCCTAATAAGGAGGTTGGACCTCCCAAGGGGCAAATTGGAGAAGTATTTCCACCAATGTGGAACCGGTCAAGAAGTGGAGAAGGTAGTTTAAGGAATCCACTTCCCCATGGTATAATAGCACCTGCAGCAACTCCGAAATTGAGTGCAGTGTTCAAGAAGCCCAAGGGCAGAGCAGCGCGGAGATCAAATTCCTGGCATGAAGTAGAAGAGAAAGTTCATGATGTTAAGAAGTGCCTGTTGATACAATGTACCGATTTCTGGTTGACAGAAAGACAGATCAAAAATAAATTTTGCAAATAAGAACTATTAGCAGGTAATTGATGTTATTTCTCATGTATATGTCATTGAAAAATTCACCATAAAAGGAAATCTAAGAAAAAGTTAATTAAGTAGATCCGTGTTTAATGGTCTCACAAACACTGCTCTCGTTCTTTCATGCTCACCTGATCTGCTCTTTTATCATAGGACTGCAGACAAATATCCATGGACTATCAACTTTTTACCTCAACGCTCAACCACTATTAGTCTCCTCCTGTCATAATAGCACTGACTTTTAGCATTTTTAGAAGTACAAGTAACTTTACAGCATTTAGGAAATCCCATCTTTTCAAGGCTTAATAGCCACATACTGGTCAGACCACCAATTGTCCATGCTGGAAAGATGTACATTTTCCCACTAACTCACATCAAAAGAATGTTGCCCAGTAATCTTCTAGTGATGTCCACAAATTCTGGAAGAGGCTAACCCTTTTTTCGACCTGATTCTCATTAATACTTCAACCGAAAGTTTACCTTTTCTTCCTTCAATTTATGGATGGATTCACAAGAAAACCTTGTTTGAACTCCCAACAAAACCTCATTAGGTACAGCCCAAGCTCGTACAACCAACAACCAATCCTCTAATATGATTCAGAAACAACTTTGCACTAGCAAAAGAACCATATACACATGATAAATTCAGAAGACACTATGTTTGCTGTGCAAATGACATTTGTAATCTGTACAGCTCATAGCTGCAGATCTACAAGAAAGCAGGCATATAATGGCCCCAACACAACCGTTCACACGTAAGACATTTTGTACAATTGAATTTTTGCCAATTTTAACGTAGCACCAAGTCAAAAAAAGTATGATTACAAACTATGTAGGCAGAAGGGCATGGCAGCTACACGATTAATAAGGAAGCAACAAAGTGTACCTGTCGCATGAACCGCAATGCTTTGCTATCTGGTCCAAGGCCACTGACTTGAGTTGTAGAAAGGAGGGCATATCCCTTAGTTGGCCTCATATGTGAATCTCTGCGATCAAGCTTGTATGTATATTTTATTGAGGAGAGAAGGCTATGTCCTAATTGCCTCCTTATAGATTTGGATGCCATGTGTGATGGATTGGTTAAATGTCGCCACCTAAGGTTGTATGCTAAATCATGGTTTCTAATTGAGACCAAACCAAGAGAAACGCCTAAGAGGCATTCTTTGTATGATGACAATTTCAACCAGTCTTGAGAAAGTAATGAAGCTCGGGCTGATAAAGGAGTCGGTAATCCCTTGAGTCTAGGTAAGGAAACCCCAGTGCTTAGTTCAGTTGTCTGATCTGAGCCATATGACCCAGAAAGTTCCCAAATGTCAGCATAACCAAAAAGATTTTTCAACTTGACTGATCCTTCAAGAGAGCAAGTTTTGGCCTACCAGGACAATGTCAAAAAAGAACATATAAGCTGCAGTAGTAAATATATACAGGATGCATTGAACATCAATGTAGGTGCATCAATTGTACCTATACAACATCATAATGTTAAAATATATATGCTTCCTGATCATGTAACTAAGACAAAAATCTTCTGAAAACTAATAAACATGGGATCGCCATCCTTTTATAAGATTTCAAAACAAGATAAACAGCAATTACTAAATTTGATCAGCATTCATGGATGGTCTTCATATTTAGATAAATCATAACGATAAATTCCATGAGATGGGAGTCATTTTAACTACAAGTAAAACCTTATTCAAAGAACAACTTATGTGTTACAAAGGTGTGGTGTTCTGACGATTACTACATCAGAAATGAGGTTCGCATCACAAAAGATGCCTTAAATAGTACAAGGTTTTTTAACTTCCACTAATTCAGCCATGAGGTGTTTATTAGCAAAATATGACCTGAAACCTTATACTCCCTTGGAATTACCCATATTAAACCCCCCCCCCCTCCCTCCCCTTCCCTCTCCCTCTGTTGTTCTCCACTAAGCTAATTTATTGCATAGGAAAGTTGATTTTCAAGAACTGAAAATGGCACGAAGATAATTTTCCCTTTATCCCTTAATGTTTATGTCTTTAACCATTCCTTAGAATTTCTAAGTGACTTGTTGGATACCGTAGTTCCTAGATCACTGAAATCTTGCATAATATTTCCTATTCAAAACAGTAGAAGCGACTAATTACTTCCTTACTACAAGCAAGAGTTATAATCAAATCAGGAAATTGCACTGCTATTCAGCCTCAAATCAATGTATTTCTGACTCTGACCCTTCCAATCCACGATATACTTTAGAACTGCAAATCAAATCATCATCAATCTTCATTTCCCTCAATTTCCTTTCCCTATATTACAAATAAAAAAAATGGGCAGAAGCCTCAGGTAAAGATGCAATCCATATCCTTTCACTTAAGTAGTAAACTTGAAAAAAAGAAAACAAATTGCTTTGCTTTTAGTTTTAACTATTATTAAAAGATGTAAGATGCTTCTTTACTCACTTTGCACTGTAGTATTGAACATTTGAACTGTGTATCCTGATCTCCATGCACATGTGTGATGTGTCAAATGTTTCTCGTAATTGCATATTTTGCTCGTCCACTAAAATATTTAACTTATTGCTCCTCTTAGTTAGATCAATACATTATGTTGTTTAACTCTGTCTCAGAAAAGAGAAACACAACAACCAAACATTTACACACTCTGACCAAACAAACACAACCCACATTTAGATTCCCAATCTCAAATCTCACATCAACTCAATAAATGCATTGCACTTTTTGCACCTTCTTCTTAACAATCACATTCGCCCAACTATGATCAAAACAATCTTCATGTGTCAATGTGTATGTGTGGGTGAGGTTTTCTCATGATTGCATGATTCTTGCGCATCCACTAGAAAACCAACCGTAACAAAACCCAAAACAATATACAATGCATTACAAACTAGCATTCCTTTACTCATTTCAATCCAAAATCCACACATTGAAGCAAGCAATTCATCAGTTTGATAATCCACCACCGTGCTACCCAAAAATTCGAAGGTAGATTTTACAAAACCTAATGTGAACTTGGAGATTTTACACAGAACTACAATATTTATTGTTTGAGAATATTAGCATAAAGTTTCACAATAATAGAAAAATACCACACACCATCGCGAAAAGTACTATGAATTAATTCTAGCAGATTTTACAAAACAACATGAATTTTCAGAACATCCACAGTTTGTTATAAATTTATCCAGTAAAGATTGCATTTTTACAAAACCTCTGATCTCTCATACCCAAAAATTTAATCGAAACCCTCACCTCTGGCTTCGTGAAGATCCCTAAATCCCCAGTCAACGGATTTTCCGGCTCCAAGACCTCGATCACCACATTCGCAGTCCCCGAGATCTCCGGTGGCCCAGCATCGAGGGTGATCGACACTGAATCGAATACATCCAGCCTCTTCAACCTGACATTGGCGCCTCCGGCGGCCGTCAGCAGCTCCTGCATCGTCGTCGCCGACCTCAACCCCTCGACAACCTGGGCCTCGATCAGTGACCCGTTCGTCCTCCGGTTGCCCTTGACGATCACGTCGTGTACCCGGATTCGCACTGGACCGCTTCTAAGGCGGCGGAATACGGTTTGTATCTTCTCGCGATGGGACGACGGGGTTTCGAGTTCGACATCGTCGTCTTCGTCGTCCACATCATCGTCGTCTTCGAAGTCGTCGTCCGAATCTTCTTCTTCTTGTTCTTGGGGGCTAGGTTTAGGGTTCTGGTCTTTGGGGGAATCGATCGCCATGAGAGAGGAGCTACAGGAGACAGAGGAGCTGAGCTGGCTCGGTATAAATGGGCCGGATCATAGTTTTTCCTAATGGGCTTCGAAAGCTCAAGGCTCTGCTCGGTTACAATAGACAAATGTTATAAGTTAATTAAAAATCAGTGTAAATATAACAATACCAGTTCGAGCTAACTATTGAATAAGTGTGATAAATAACTTTTTTTTTCTCGTTGAGAGAAACTTTTAATTACGTTCATTCTATACATACCATCTTTTATTTTTAATTTATATATAAACTAATTTTAAAATATTTTTTATTACAATCGACCACCTCGACCTACTGTTTAGTTGATTTTTTAGGCAATTGAGCTCACCTAATCTCCATTAAGGATCATCTCTCTAATATAATTGGTAGTTAATAATTAAGTATTATATAAAAATTAAAAAACTTGACTTAAAAGTGAGTCTACATGATTAATTGCTACGAAAAATACTTTAAAAATAGTTTATGCATAATTTAAAAATAAAAGGTGACTTCTAAAAAATGATTGTGTCTTAAAATTTTGGTTTCTATGAAAAAAAAACCCTAATAAATATATGAGTCAATACAGTTATCAACTTCAAGCTATTAAATCAGTCATAATTCCTACACCCCAAAATTGAGTTTGTTTAAAAAAAAAGGGATAGTCCTCGTAACGCAAAGTGTTTGCAACAAGGTGATTGATCATATGTACTCTCTCAAAAAAAATACATATATCATTCTCCCTTTAAAAGCACGAATTCGGGAAAATCTTTCGATAAACAAAAATACCTTTAGAATTCAAATATTATTCCATTAAATAAGAGTAAGTTGATAAATTAATGAGTTGGATATACACAGCATGAAGATAAGGTTACAATTTAAATTGAAATGTAAATCTAAATAATATTATTAAATACCAAATTTATAAATGTCTACAAAATCAAGGGCGTATATATAAAAAATAAATTAATTAATAAGACAAATAATGTCTACCCCAAAGATCAAACCCGGGAACAACGTAGACCAACAAATGTACATAATATGGAAGGGATGTTTACAAAATCCACCAAACAAATTAAAGAGACAAAAACCATTCTCAAAATTATAAAAAATAAAAATTAAGAAAAATAAAAAATCATACTCCTTTTAAAATCATTTATTCTTTACTGATGATCTACTGCTCTTTGGTAGAGCTGATATGAACTCCATTATCAAACTTCATAGATGTCTGTATGAATTCAGTAAGGTCTCTGGTCTGGATACCAACCCAGATAAATGTTCAGTATATCTAAGTGGTATTGATGACAATCTAAAGCTTCAAATTTGTTCATATCTGAATTTTTCTGAAGGTTGCCTACCAGTTAGGTATCTGGGTATGCCTCTTATACCTAAGAGACTCTCTTGGATGGACTGTTCTCCTCTTGTCAGCAAAATTTCTAAAAAATTCCAGCATTGACAAAAGAAAAGGTCCCTATCTCATGCTGGAAGGTTACAATTGATCAAATCTGTCATTTTGGGTGTGCATATCTACTGGACAAATAATTATATCTTGCTTAGTAAAGTTCTTAAAAAAATTGACAGGTTGTGTTCTGAATTTTTATGGAATCACAAGATCCCTTTAGTATCATGGTCAACTATTTGTCAAGAGAAAAAGTATGGAGGCTTGGGTATCTTTTCAGCAAGAATTTGGAATCAAGCTGCATCTCTTAAACTGTTGTGGATGATTCATATCAAGAAGGACCTTTTGTGGATAAAATGGGTGCATGAGAATTATTAACAAAATACAGATATCTGGAGTGTGCAGGTTAAATCAAATAGCTCTTGGATGTGGAAGCAACTTAAAAAACCCCAGAGATGTTGTGATTGCTAAAGTTGGCAGCATTAACAACCTGATTGCTATCATTGGCAAGTCATGTATAGGGGGAAAAATACAGGTTTCTGCTGTGTATAGCTCTTTGGTCCAACCTGCACATCAAGTTCACTGGGCTAGCACAGTTTGGAATAATATTCATTATCCCAAACATTCTTTCATTCTATGGCTAGCTATTCAATCAGGATTGATTACTCAAGATAGGCTATGTCGGATGGGTATTCTTAATACAAATCAATGTGTGTTGTGTACAAATTTTCAGGAAACCTGTCACCATTTATTCTTTGAATGTCAATATTCATCCACTGTCTGGAATATGATGTTGGACTAGATGAAGTTCAGCCGGAAATCATGCATGTGGGATAGTATCATACACTGGTTTAGCTTCAGGCTAAAAAACAGAGGATTTGGGGGAAAATTAAAGAGACTGGCTTTTGGAATAACAATGTACTTCATATGGCAAGAGAGAAATCTTAGGATCTTTCAGGGGAAAACTATGCTACCTGAGATGTTGTTTAAAGCTATTAAGATCTCCTTTTTCTCAAAGATTATGAATGAAAAATATCTTGTTCACTTAGAGGAGAGAATTAGAGAGTTGTAAGGCTGTTGCATATATGTGCACTGTGTGTGCACTATGAGTGTTGAGCTTTTCAGTCTTTGACTGACAGTGATATTGTACAAAAATTTCTTACTTGGTAAATGAATAAAAAAAAATCATTGACAAAAAAAAAGCACGAGTTCATGAAAAGTTTTTCATAGTCAAAATTACACTATACTATTTTAAATATTTAATTTAAATTATAATCTATACTAATCATACTTATATCCTATCCTAAACCCCCATGAACTATCTATAGCTCAAAATTTTGAATAAGATTAATAAAATATATGAAACATCTTCATACTATTAGTTTATTACATGAAGTATTACAAAAAAAGCAAAATGTTTTGAAAATTAGACAAAATACTCTCAAAAGTTTAAAATTACACAAAATAAAAAGCTAAAAATTTAGAACTTCGCAAAGAAAAGAGTAATTGTGTGATTTTTTTATTAAGATATATAAATATAACTTATAATTTAAGGTTTACTATCCCTTTTTAGAATCTAAAAATAGTCAAGTTAATACTGGTAAAAAATAGTAATAATAACAGATTAAAAATATCCAGTTAAATAATAAAAATTTTAAAAAATGATTAAAAATATCCAGTTAAATAATAAAAATTTTAAAAAATATATGATAGATTAAAAATTAATGTTATTATATAAATTAAAGTAACTGCATATAATTTTACTAATATGTTAGAACACCAAAAATACATAAGTATCATTAATTGATAGAAGACTAAATGACAACAAACTGATAAAAGACTATAATATAATAGTTTAACATTAATTGATTATAATTTATAAATATTGATCTCTAATGGTAATAATATTTATTAGGTAAAAAATTATAAAGATTTATGTATGGAGAACTATTAGAAAATTTAGATATATCCTTCAAAAGAATCAAGCGGTTTTTATTTCAAATGGAATTCGGAACATCTATGAATCACTTAAATTAACAATAACATAAGTTATATTTATCAAAGAAACACCGACTGAATACCCCCTGAAGAATATATTAAACAACTTTGTGCTCATCAAAGAAACATTCTTCATAGAAGATAAAAGAAAAATTACTATACTTTGCGTGAACAAAAAATATAAAATCGGCATTTTTCTTTTTCTTATATAGTATCACGATCCTGCGTGTGACTTTATTTAGGGGCATGACTACTAACGAAGGATTAATTCTTAAAGACACTATCAAAGATAATGATGTAATAGCACTATTAGAATTTAAGATCTCTAAGTATGAAGGTAGTATATTTCATTAGTAAAATTCTTATTAAATACCACTAAATATAAAATTTACCTTATATCTGTCTCAAATTTATAGAGGAAATGTGCATGTCATCGTAAATTGTATTAATAATATATATCAATTCAAAGATACAACTTACTGAAGAAATAAGTGAATAGTAAGTAAACCAAGCAAACATTCATATAACACCGTAAATAAAAAAAATATTTTAAAACTAATATGCAGCGCTCTTTTAGAGTAAGTTACCAAGACAAAAGTATCTCCATTAAGGTTCTTTATACATGCAACAGAAATTCAAATTACTATTACAACCATTATAACATTCGAAAGAGATATGATCTTAGAAAACCTATTCTAAAATTCATATAATTAAACCTAAGAATAATTTACCAATATACAGACACACTATTGCACACTTGTGGCAATGATAACTACCATTTATAATAGAGTTGAGCAGTGATTCTATGATTGCAAATGCTGTAATAAGAAAGTGGTAAATATGTTAATAATAAGTGTACAGATGATAAATGTTATAGAATCGCCGATGATTTAGTACCAATGTTAAGTGATATCCCTTCTTCATGAAATAAATATATCAAAATTAAATATTAATATTATAATCTAAAGTAAATTAACAATGAAAAATTTAATGTATTTAGTTCAGATCCTCATGAAAAATGACACATACAAAGCAAATGTAACATTATGACACATCAAAAATTCTTATTGGATGCACAACAGAAGAATTCATAGTAGAGAAAAAAGAGGTAGCTCCTAACCTTATTTAAGTAACAAATTAAAAGCATAAAAAATTTCATATATATAAAATTAATATTTCTTCTTATTAAAATAGGAAAAAATCAAACTCCGTATTGTCAGAAGTTTGTGTTGAATATAAGAAATATAGTCAACTTCTTTGTGAATTTAGACGAGAAGACAAAAGATGAATGAACTCAAGGAAAGATAATATGCTCTAGTCTCATATCAAAATCAATGTAGACGATGAAGACATTACCACTCTAGAATTAGCTAGGAAAAAGGTAAAGATGAAGAATGATTGCTCTCGACTCAATAAAAAATAAAATAGAAGTAACAAAAGATAATGTTTTGTGAATTGATATAGAATAGTTTTATTTTTTAGTAAAATTAGGAATCTTTAGAAGAGATTTTCATAAACTCTTTTAGTACTTTCATATGCATATGTGGATATTTTTATCATATAAAAGTGTACTAGAGTTAACATTAATATTCAAATTATGATTATTTTTCATTAACCATTTTCTGTCATTTTAGCCCATTTTAAATCAATCATCTTGGCTCGTTGTCTTTATTATTCATCTTCCTTTTATAATGTTATTTTTTCAAGTGTTTTCACTTTCATAACACTATACTTCCTCATGTCAAGCTCGGATTCATGTCAATCCAAATTAATAAAATAGAAATTTATATTGGCTTTAGATTATATTTATCTCCTGACAATTCAACTATCAACATAAATTTTAAACTGGATGTAGCTTATTCAAACAAACATCAAATAAATAAATAATCAAAGTGTAATCAATGAACAAATTTTAGTAGAAAATAAACTAAAAATACATAATTACAGTATTTAACCACGTGCATTACACATGTATAAAATCTAGTGTGTGTGTGTGTGTGTGTGTGTGTGTGTGTGTGTGTGTATATATATGAGCTTTGCTATATGGGACCAATAGGGAGGACATGTGAGGTGTCACCCTCCTATTGCATAATGAGTTGATCATCATTAATGATGACTAATTCATTATGCAATAGGAGGATGACATATCACATGTCCCCCTGTCGGTCCTATATTTTGGATCATTGAGAAATTTTTCGTTTCATAAATAAGTTTGTAGTTTTTTTTTTTTTTGGAAAAGGGAGGGATGCATTAACTATAAACCCCAATTTTCTGACGTGAAGATGCCTGAGGACGCCATTCAAGTCCTCAAAGACAAATGACGGTACCCCAAACCAAACATCGCCAATCTCTCTCTTTCAAAAGCAAAGGCTCCCATTATCTCTCATGGGCTTCTCATCAAATTAACCTTTTCCATTGAAAGCCCTCACGAGAACCTCACATGCACTGCCTGCCTCCCCGCAACCAAACTTCCCCTAAAAACTCCCCTCACCCCATGACCACCCTCCCCTCTTTCAAGCCTCACGAACCTCCCATTCTTAGTTAAGATATATCTCTCGATCCCTCCCCCTCTTCTCCGCTCATCAATGCCTCCTCCTCCCTTCTCCTCCTCTTCCACGCTCACTGCTACTTCTGCCTCCTCCTCCTCTCCTTCCTCCGTCCTCTCCATCGTTTCAATGGACGTGTTGCACTTCGACGTGCCTCTCATATCGACGAGGCGGGCCTCGAGCGGCCACGGGTTGAACCAACCAACGACCCGAGCCCTGACACGAGGCCGCCGAGGTCCCCTTCCTCGTGGGAAAGGGCGCCCGGGATACGCCAAGACGGACGCGGCACGATTAACAAAAACAAGTCCGATGAGGAGGACTACACCCCGAAGCACGCCACCTGCAGGTGCGGCCCCCGAAACCTCAGCGGAAACGGCGGCGGCGCGGCGCCGACGCTTCTTGCGGAGGAAGCCGACGACGCGTTCTCCGACGCCAGCTGACAATATGCCGATGTCGGAGTCGTTCGGCGTGCCGTGCAGGCTCAGCGTGTCCAAGAACACGGGCCCGGGCGTCGCACGCGCGCCGAGCTTCATCATGAAGCGGTTGCCTGCCCGCGCGTCTAACGCCTTGGCGGCCTCGTCGGCAGCCAACGCGGCTGCCCAAGTATTCGAACGGGCGAAAGGTTCGCTCTGGCTCGACTGACCCGAAAAAGTCAGGTCGAGCCAGCAGACGAGAGTGACCGGTGAGGTCAGGAAAGACCCGAATACGACTACGGTCGTGAGACTAACGGCGCGGGAGGGCGTGCGGGATTATGTTGCTCGTTCCCTTGGGGAGACGAAAGGGGCCGTTTGTGGGCTGAAAAGCCCGGGTTCGGGTGTCAACGCCGGAAAATGGGTAGCGTTGGACACCGTTGGCGTTGTGATTATGGACCGGGCTCATGACTGACGGGGCTTAGCCATGTAAGGCCTGGAAGTCTCCGGATGGGGGTTTGCCATGTTTTGGACACGAGTAGGCTGAGGAGGACCCACAAGGGGAACGAAGAGGCGTGTCGATTTTGGCGAGGGGAGCCCCGAGGAGGAGGAGGAGGGGGGATGTCGGAGGTTTTAATGAGGTTGGCAGGCAACTCCCAAGGCTTAAGACTCCGAGTGAGCCATGGTTGGCCAATGCTTTGAGCTCTGTTAACAGGAGAAGACCATGAGCTTTGTCAAGCTGTCGATACGCTGAGTACATTTGAGGAGCTAGTGTGAAATTATATCATGTACGTGATTAGTGTTGAATGTAAGTAATTGGTTAATCTGTGCACGTAGATGAGAAGTTCATGTGTTTGTTGTATATCATTGGTCTTTATATGTTAATTAATTGTAAGATATCTCTAACTCAACTCTTACCTAAACATAATGCATTGAACTATAGAAGTCTTGAATATGTGCTGCATCACGAACGTGTCCCTTGTGCTTCTTGTTTGGTTCAAGGGCAAGTGAGGGAGAGACGCGTGACTTCAGTTTAATTTTTGTTTCCTCACCTCACTTCATGTGTTCCTCCAAATTGGAGGGTTTCTCTTCTCTCCACAACTTTAGCTATCTTATTTTTTCTCTCACCTCGCCTAACCCCACCTCACCTCTTCCTCCATAAATCCTCTCTTATGCCCAGTTTGGATGGAGGGTAGAGAGGGGGAGGGGAAGAGAAATGCAGCTTTCACCTTGTTTGAGAGTTTTTTTAAGGAGGGTAGAGAGAGGAGGAATGAAGGGGAATGGAGGGTAAATTTGCTTGGTTTTCTTTCCCCCCCGATTTGGGCGGTAGAGGAGGGTAAAGGAGGGTAAAGGGGTGTAATGACATTCTTACCCCCATCAAAACAAATAAAAGGGCTGATATGTTATTAGTATAAAGTCATTTATGTAAATTTACATATATTTACTTTCTTTCACCTTCATTCACCTTACTCAACTCCCAAACAATATATTATAATTCTATTCCCATTGTTTACCTTCCCTTCCCTTCCCTTCCCTTAGTAAACTCCCAAACACACCATTAAAGAGGATTTCTAGTAAACACCAGTCCAGTTTTCTCTATTTTCCAAAAAAAAAAAAATTTGTGACACAAATTATTTCAAAAACATAATGATGCAAAAGATTAGAAAAAAATACTACCTGTATAGTATTGAATAAACTAATGGCCTGTTTGGTAAACGAATAAAACTAGTTTCATTCAAAACACCTTTGGTCCAAGTGTTTAGCCCTAGTCTAACAAATTTTAAAGTTGGCTTAGACATGTTTTTCTTGGGTCCATTTTTGCCTACTAACTGGACCGAAAATAAATCAAACCCCTCTGGTGTGTAAAAGAAATGCATAATAAGTCTGGTCCTAAAAAAATTAGTGGGCAAGGAGAAAGGAGGGAAAGAAAGACTATGTACACGTAGAAACTAGTTTAGCTAGAAATAAAGCAAATTAGATTCAATTCAAAATTAGTGCATGTATGATAATCACATTTTATTAAAATTTTATACCCTCATTATCTATTTTTTATGAATAAATATATTACTAATAATTATTTTTATCTTTTAATTACAGGTTAATAAAGAATAAATCTCAAACTCTCATCTCTCAACAAAAAAACCCTTGATTTATTGAAGAAATGAAGCCCATGGAAGCAAACAATTTCTTTCAATATTCAATGAAGTGTTGAAGCCCAAATGAAGAAAAAATGCCAAAGCCCAAAAGAAGCCCATTGGAAAATCAATTTTCAAATTATCCAAAAAGCCAGAATCAAGCCGAGTAGCCTGTAGAAGCCGGAGAAAATCAAAAATCCAATATGAAAAGAAATCATATTCAAAATGGTTGGCCACAAAGAAACGACGATATCTCCTAATCCGGAAGGCGGAATTTAACATATAATATATGAAAATCGACTATCTCGACGAGACGAAGCTATCCGTGAAATCAGAATTTGGATATAGTGGGTATCGATGTCGGCATCGATGCTGGCATCGATACCAGCATCGATGCCTGCATCGACGCCAGTTTACTGTAGCGCGAGTCAATGGCTGATTTTGCTTTTCTTGGGGCTCAAGTTTGATCCAATGGCTCTCATTCACTGATGTTTACTATAAATAGGGGTAGAGAGTGAGGGGTTAGAGGTGTAAAAATTTTTGTAACTCCTTTTGATGAGGAGGACTACTCTTAATTGAGAAGGTCTTCCAAATTTGTAACTTTTTGTTACAATTAATAATAATAATTTTTTTCACCACTTTAAATTTTTCTCTTCTTCTCTTTGTTGGATGATGAAGATGAAGATGGAGATTAATTTGAAGGTTTGTTTTTCTTATTTCTCTTTTATTGCTTAATAGTTTAGATTTTTTTTCATGCTTGTAATTAGATTTTATTTTCTTGTTTAAATAGCCAAGAGGCTAGAACCCTCTTGCTTTAGATTTATTTCATGCTTATAGATTAGATTTATTTCATGCTTATAGAGTAGATTTATTTTCTTGCATTTAATTCTTACAATTTATTTTGTAGTTTAGATTTTGCAATTTATTTTGTAGTTAGATTTTAATTTCTTACACTATTCACCTTGAGGCTAGAACCCTCTTGGGTTCTTTTTGTTCATTTTTATTTTCTTTGATTCGCCTTTAGGCTAGAACCCTCTAGGGAATCACATTTTTCTAAGAAGTGGATTCAATTCTAAATTACCCATATCTTTAATTGAATCTGCTATCTTTACATTCTTGATTTTTATTTGTTCTTGATTTTTCCTTCTTGCCTTGTTGATCACATTTATATTATCACTTACACTCTCAAATATATTCATTTACACAATCATTTTTATTCTCTCCATCTCTCTACAATCACATTCACTCATCACTCCTATTTGTCACGCAACATAAAAACCGATTTTATATTTTCTCCTACAAAACACCTTCCTCGTGGATTGATACCTTTATACTATAACTTGACATGGTTGTGCACTTGCAACATTTTTGCTACATGTTTATGCTGCATCAATGTAGAAACTAGTTTCGCCTAATCAAAACTAAACCGGACTATTTTCCAAGTTGCCAAACACACCCTAAGGAGGGGGGAATTAAAAAAAAAGGTAGTACACTTTGGTGTGTATAATAAATGTAAGCTATACTTTGAGTAATCACTTTAATTTGGAGCTGTTCTTCATTTTCTTTGTGAACCCCAACTATTTTCCAAGTTTCCAAACACACCCTAAGGAGGGGGGAATTAAAAAAAAAGGTAGTACACTTTGGTGTGTATAATAAATGTAAGCTATACTTTGAGTAATCACTTTAATTTGGAGCTGTTCTTCATTTTCTTTGTGAACCCCA